AAGGCTGAGAGTTGTGGAGGGCCACAATTTTGACATTCAAGAAGCTACGAAAATGTGCTTGGTGCAGGACATCTAGTTTCCCACCAAGTTCAAAATCCCCGATTTCCAGAAATACACTGGGACTAGCTGTTCGAAAGGACACTTGACGATGTACTATAGGAAAATGGCCGCTCACATAGGCAATGAGAAGCTCCTGATACATTGTTTTCAAGAGAGCCTATCTGATGGAAAAATTAAGAGGAAACTAGATTGTTGTTGGCTTCTCTTCAAGTTCCCCCTAGATCTTCGTCTCTTTGATTCTCCTTAAGCTTTGTTGAAGCTTCTAATAGAGGTAGAAGCTCCAAGGTTCACCTTAGAAGGTGAAGAACACTCTCAAGTAGGGCCACTCCTTGGAAGAAGATTAGCCACTTCAAATCTCACCACACTCTTGTATGAAGAGGATAAGAGAAATGGATTGAAATCAAAAAGGTTTGAGACTTTTGGTATATATAGAGAAAAATCAGAGGTAATCTCAAAATTCTCTCAATATATGCATCAAAAGTGTTTACAAAGTGAAGGAAAAGACTTATATAGTGAGGAGGTGACTTGTGGTGCAAGCTAGGCTAACTATGGTTCAAGGAGAACCATGGATAGCCTTTTTACACTCAAGTTAACCGGTCTAGTAACTTGGAAGCTTGTGGAACAAGCTAAGATTTAAAGCTTGTGAAGCAAGCTAAGCTAAAAGCTTGTAGCACAAGCTAACCAAGTGTGTGGGAGAAGCTAGAAGAGCCAAGCGGCCAACTTGTATTCCTTCATTTAATCCAATCCAAAAAATGTTGGAATTGGTTTAGTTAGGTTCATCTAATAAGGATGATACCTAGTTAAGTCAATTCCTTGGATTAAATGGAGCAAACAAGCCCAATTTGTCACTTTACTAGCCTAATTGGTTTAGTTAGCCTAGGCCCATGCCCAATTGCTAGCTTCACCTACACACTTTACTATTTGTCACTTCATTTCTACTACATTAAAAATATGAAAATCTATTACCCTTAATACAAGGTCAAATGGAGCAAAAGTCTCCAAACAACATACCCTGAAATCCCAAAGGGATGATCTATAAGAAAAGGAAAATGTCTCTTACAAATACAAAGGCAAAAATACACCAATACAAGTATCTACTATATACAAAGTATAAGAACTCAAACTATACAAGGTATGTACAACAGAGTATGAGACTAAAAAGAGGAATCATACTCAATGCTCATATTAAGCATAGGTCTAAGAAGCACCTCCTTTGTAGAAGCCTCCTCTAGCCTCCTAACCATATGGACCTAGTTAAAGGCCCAATGGTCTTCAAGTGTGAGCTCTCCTATAGATCCACCTTTACCCTTCTTGGTCTTATTTCTTCCAAAGGGATATTTGGGGATTAGATTTCCATCATTTGATGCTGCTCTAAACTAGTATATGCAGCTACGGAGGGAAAGTCCAGACATGGAAATAACTTGTCGATGTTTTTATCCGGCAGAACAAGTATAACATTGATCTGATTCCTGACAGGTCTGATCTGCAAAGTTTGAGTAAGAAAGGTGATGGGCCTTTCAAGGCTTACGTGCAAAGGTGGAAAGGACTGGCTGTACAAGTGGAGCCTCTATTGTCCGACAAGGAGACGGTGACGATGTTCGTCAACTCCTTAAGTAACCCCTATTACAACAATATGATAGGGAATACATCGACCTTCTTTGTCGACATAATCATTATAGGTGAAAGGGTCGAGCAAGGTCTAAAGGGCAGGAAGATAGGGAAGGCCCCAGTGAACTACAACCACAAGAAGTGTTGTGGAAAGAAAAAGGAGGAGGGGGTCATGCTGTCACTGTTGCAATCGGCCCCTCAAGAAGTTGAGTTGCACCACAGACCAAGCCTAGGAAGGAGAGGGTGGTGGATAAAATTCCTACTACCTATGCGGAGTTGCTACCCCAGCTTCTAGAGGCTTCAATGTTGGTACGAGTTCCCTCATTCAAGAGGTTCGATCCACCTTATCCAACATGGTATATGCTTGAGGAGTGGTGTGATTACCATTTTGGTTCCCTCGGACATTCTATAGAGCATTACAAGGCCTTATAGCTTCACATGTAAGGGCTTATAGATGCTGGGTAGTTGAAGTTCGACACCAGGACACCTAGTATCGACAAGCAGCCGCTCCCCAAGCATGATAAGTAATGACCTTGAAGTGGAGTTGTAGAAAAGCCGCTAGAGGGCTATTTGTTTTTTTTAAAAAAATTATTATTTCTTTTTACCCATGACTCCCACCCGAGGTCATGGGTTTCCACAATAAAAAGGTTTGTAATAATCTTATTTATTAATAATAAAACACGTTGTTTCTATAAATATGTCTATTTTTCATTTCTTTTCTTCCTTTTCTCATGTATTAAAATTCTAAAATCTAAATACAGAACCTAAAGGAAGCAAAAATGACTAAGAAAAACAAAATTAAACAAAATCTGAACGTTTGCAATGCATCACTCGAACCCGAGGAAGACTTCTCCTGAGAAATGCAAAGACTATTGGATCAAGAGGCCCAATGATATTCTTTTTTGTCTTTGTTATATAGATCATAGATTATAGATTATAAATATAAAAAGTGAAAATCCCAAAATGATATTTTCTTTATCTTTGTTATAAATTATAGATATAATTATAAATAATAGATTTTGATTAGTGAAAAGATATAATAAAAATAAAACAAATAGAAAAGATATAATTGATTGAGTGATTATGAGTAGTTATTTAGAGAGAAAAAGAGCTGTAACGTTGAAGAACTAAAAAAGTCTCAACTTTTTTTAGTTTTTATTTTTATTTTATTCTTAACAATAATTAAGGGTTAGAATGGTCCAATATAAAGTCGAGAATAAATAGTTATCAAGAAAACTATTTCTTTTATACATACATATATATATATA